GCAGATTGCCCAGCTGCATCCCTATCTAGACACGGGGGCGCTCACCACCCTGGTCCATGCGCTCGTATTCTCAAGAACAGACTACAGTAACGCTCTCTACATGGGGCTTCCTTTGAAAATGATGCGGAAGCTTCAGATGGTCCAGAACATGGTGGCCAGGGGTGAAAAGATTTCATCATATTTCCGCCACTCTGGCCGCCTTACACTGGCTACCTATTCACTTCCGCATTGATTTCAAGGTGTTAACCATTACATACAAAGCCTTTAACAGTTTAGGACCTTGATATCTGTCAGAGTGCCTTCTTCTGCCTAGTTCTACCTGTATCACCCGTTCCAGTCAGGCTGGGCGGCTGAGGGGCCTAACACCAAGAGAGGCCCGGTGGGAAAAAACCAGAAATCGGGCCTTCTTGGCAGTGGCCCCTCGCCTTTGGAAGAACTTACCTGCTGAAAACCGCCTGGCTCCCTCGCTGAGGGCCTTCAAGACTAACTTGAAGACATGGCTATACGGGCAGGCCTTCCCTACAGCCATTACCTAGCCTATCTCCCCTTTTCTTCTTTTTCTTTTCTCTCCTTCTTCCTCTTCTTTTATCCCCTCTTTCTTTTTTCCTTTCCCATCTTGGATTAATCTGGATTTTATCTTAGTTTATTGTTAATATTATATGTAAACTGCCCAGAGTAGACCCGTTCTAGATGGACAGTATATAAATCTAATCTAATCAATCAATCAATCAATCAATCAATCAATCAATCAATCAATCAATCAATCAATCAATCAATCAATGATTGGAAGAGGACTGAAAAACTTAGAAAGGTTACTTTTTTGGACTATAGCTCAGAGCTCTGGATTTTATCAGCATTCAGTACAGCAAAAAGAAAAAAGATTTCCAGTCTTTTCTGAAAGTGAACAACTATTAAATAATATAACTCAAATGAGTAATTGTTTAGTTATGAGTTATAAAGTTTATCGTGGCTTACAGCTACTCTCCTAGAATTTTCTAGATAAAAAGAAGCAAGACTGCATAGGTGGTAAGGCATGTAACCCTTTCAGCCAATCATGCTCCAAAATATTCTTAAAATGTTCAAAATTTTACCATATGTTTTTGGCTTTGGTACTTATGAATCATTCACAATTTTTGTGAATTTAAGAACCAAATGACTGATCACAGGAAGACAAGGATCAACAAGATCATATGAGTATACATATGGTCTAGTTGAATTTAAATTAGCATTTAAATTATATTTAAAAACCGTTACAAGTCTTTCTAGGCAAAATACTTAACAGTACGATAATGTCTTTTCTAAATCTTATCTACACCATTACTTTCAAGCCTCATGCCTCAAAGTTTTCTGATACAGATCAATCCTGTAAAAGAAATCACAGCAAATTGAAATGCTTCCTTATCGCAGTTACCACTTTCTTATTTTTCAATATTAGCTTTGACTCCTGCTGTTTAAAATGAACACTGCTACAACCATCAGTTGTTTGTTTTAAAAATAAATGTACACCAGTCAAAAGCTAGAAGGGAAAACTTTACTGATGGGACTCCAATATCAAAAGGTTTGGCATTTATGTATATAGAAAAGCAAGCATGGATGTATTTGTTTATTTGTTGCTCCAGTGTGCTTTACACAAGTCTCTGCAAGACCCTTTTTGTACTGTTGTTTCTTCCTTGCTTGACTATCAGGGAGAGGGCAAGAAGGACTAAAATCACCAAGAGACCCAAAAATCAGAGGGATGTGCTTTTTTCACAGTCACCCTTGCTTCCCCCCTCTCAATGATCACTTCTGAAAAGACAGCAGCAAAATGGCAGTTCAGAGTTTACAAGTCCCAAATGAATCCTAGTTGTTAAGTATACTAAAATAGGGGTTATTTCTTCACACCTCTTATCTCTGTGCGCAAAGTGTCTGTAGAAGTGCAACTCTTACTCTGTTATACAGATGAGGAACTATCAACTCTTTAAATAACCATGAAACTCTGATTAATGAAGAATTCTAAGTGGCATTACTTTCGTCTGTTGATGGGACATTTAAGTAAATACACTAGGAATAACAACCAGTGGCTGCAGTGAAAATATCAAGTCCTTCCTGTGTCTAATTATGAAGGTTTGTCATGGAACAGGGAAGTGAGATGTTACAGTTCTGCCCATGTAGAAACAAATACACAGCTCAGTTCACGCTACCAGGGACATGCCTTCTCCTGGCTCACCTATTTCTTTGTCCATGCTCCCTCCTTTTCTCTCTATTTGCACTTCAATTCCCTTCCTCATTTCCTGATTCACAACGTGTTATGATATCTAGGACGCATGAAACTGTCTTACAACACATCAAATGTAGGTGTCTATCTAATTTACGACACTCTAAAGCAGCGGTCCCCAACCTTTTTGGAGCCGCGGACTGGCTGGGGGTAGCGAGCTCCATATGTAAGGGGTGGGGGGCACCCGCATGCATGCGAGTGTCACACGCCCCCCGCGAGCATGATGCGCCCACCACAGGTGCGACACGTTCCTGCGCCAGTGTGACATGCCCACTGCGGACATGACACACCCCTTGCGCAAGCGGGGGCACCCGCATGCATGCGAGTGTCACACACCCCCACGGGTGCAACATGCCCCCCACGAGCATGACGCGCCCACCGCAGGTGCGACACGTCCCTGCGCCAGTGTGACATGCCAACTGCGGACATGACACACCCCTCACGCAAGCATGACACAGCCTCCATGCGTGCATGCAGGGGGCGGAGATCCATATCCACAACCCAGTTCCGGCAAGCCCACAGACCGGCACTGGGCTGTGGACCGGGAGTTGACGACCCCTGCTCTAAAGCACTGGTTCTTAGCCTTGGGTTACTCGGGAGTTTTGGACTGCAATTCCCAGAAGCCTTTACCACTAGCTGTGCTGACTGGGGTTTCTGGGAGCTGCAGTTCAAAAGCATCTGAGTAACAAAGGTTAAGAACCACTGCTCTAAAGGACCATAATTCTAACCTGCAGTAGTTCTCCAGGATACCTTAAGCAGATACCTCTCCTAGCACGTGATACCTAAACCTTCCAACTGGCAATGCCAGAGACTGAACGTGGTATCTTTTGCATGCAGAATAATATAGCTTTGATTGCCCACCACAAGCCCAGCAAGGATGGAGGCAATAGACTAAAGAACCACATTTATTAGATTTATATACCACCCATCTAGAACGTTTCTACTCTGGACATATTGTTTAAAAAACAGATTCAGAACATTCTCCAAAAGCTAGTTTTAAAACCAGTTTATATACCAAAGGCTGTATCATCTCAATAGTCTGTAAGAAGCTCAGCAAAGATGGAACTAGCCTCACTACCCTTGAGATGCAATGAGATGTTATTATAGAGAAAGCCGTGTTCTCCATGCTTACTATCCTGGCTTATCAAGGTGAATGGACAGAACCAATGTTCCCTCTAAGTTGCGCATGCAGAGCTCCATCGATGCTGCACACAGGCAGCCAGTGTTGCCGCCCATTGAGTTCTGGTTTTGGCTGCAACTCTGTGCACATGCAGGGGGCTCAAGAGCAGCAAGGCCAAAGATTAGAAGGAAACGTTAGATATAACAGAAGGGTTATCTGAATATCTTAAATTCTGAGGAGGCTCATATGGTAGGAGAATGTCTTTTCATACCCAAACCAGTCAGAACGTACAGGTGAACTAGTGTCTTCAACTGTGTTTGGAAACAAACTGTCTCTAAAATACCTACCAGACAAGCCAGTTCTTTTGCATGAGCTGAAGCTACTGAACACTTTTCAAGGGCAGCCCCACAAACAACATATTATGGTAGTCTGTCTGGGAACTAATCAAGGCATGGATTATTGCTACCAAATCAACTTTTCTTAGGAAATGGCACAGCCAGCACACAATTGGCCTATATGGCCTTCAAAAATCAACATGTACACTAGAGTACTGTAGCTGTGAATGTGGCCCTTCTAAGCAATGATCTACGGTTACTGAAATTATTGCTGAATTATAGCTCCTTCCTTTGAATCATTCAATGTTGCTGTGGCAAGCTACTGCTCAAATGAACTCAGCAGGTGATCAGGACTGCTGGTACCATAGAGCAGGCCTGGGTTAAGTATGGTTTTTTTCAGAGAGCATACTTCAGCTACTAACACAGAGGCTTTGTGTTCTCCTCTTGTACCTTTGTTTCCGCAGCCCTTAAAGGAGGCTCATAATAATAATGAAAGCCTCTTCCGAATATAAATATGAAGCACCCCCCTCAAGGGTCACATTACTTCCTTATTATTTCCCTGTTCTGTTTTTTAAAGACATGCCTGAGGATTAACCAAAGCCAAGTATAAATAATATAAAAACATTATTAGATTATAGATAAAAAAATAAAGTAAAAATAGAAGAACAAATAAAAGACAAAACAAGGTTGCCTGCATCAAATTCTTGATTGGGAAAGCTAGAAACCAAAATAAATCAACAAACCATAGCATAGCTATTGGATGCAATTTGGCAAGCAGCTCTTCAAATAAGTCTTATCAGCAGAACTACAGGGAATTCAGAATCTAGTTCAGTACACTGAATTTTTTCACATGTTATATATACAAATGTTAAAACTGTTGACAAATGGGTTATGAAAATACAGTATGAGCTGCAATATAGGAATGATTACACTAAAATTTTATTATCCATTCTCTCTCTCTTAGAACTCAAATATCAAGCTTCAGAATCATCCAGTCTTTACACGAATAAAACTATATTTTCAGTACAGATTTTTGGAGATATTACTTTATTCCTATCCAGAATCTCTCCCATACACTATCAGAAAATATTAACAGAAAAGGGATATACAATATTAAACCCACCCACCCCAATTTTTCCTTTGGTAATCTAAACCCTAATTTAGCAAGGAGGGGGGAGAAATTATACATGGCATACTAGAAATGGGATAACAAGGATCAAAAGCTACCCATGAAAAATATCGGTTATAATACTCTGCAATATTTTAGGGAAAGAAGCATTAAGGAACCTACCGTGTCTTGAGATTTATCCTTGACATCATAGACTGTTAGTTTTATTTTAGTCTCCTCATAAATAGGATAATCCAGTGGGAACGTCACACCAGTCAGAAACAGTGGGTCTCTTGTTCCCTGCGTACCATAAGCACATAACTCAGATTTAGCAATGTAGCAGCTGTGTCACATGCTGCATTCAGTTATGGTACAATACCTTTGAGATTTCCAAAGGTAGAATTTCTCACACAGTAAAAACAGATTTGGACTGCCAACAGCCAGAGCCAAAAACAGAAGATGCAGTATCTCTTAAACTGAAGAGAGATGTTTCAGGACACAGAGTTTGTGATCACTGTCTGCTCCAGGCAATTGTGTCATCGTATAGCAGCAGGCCTCTAATTAGGAACAGCAATTCATTCATTCATTCATTCACAATCAAAGGCATACACATGTCTATGAAAATAATTTTCAGTAGTCACATGTTATAATTCATGCACATGAACTAAAAATATGGGAGACACCAGGAAGAGGCAGAAATAGCTGCATGGGAACTAGAGACTAGAGTTTCTAAGTAACCTCTTCCATTTTTATACATAGACTTCCTTGTCTCCCTCCAAATACACATCAAATGGTCTTCATGCTGAGTTGTCAGAGCTCAGAAAACTTACTTTCTTGGACTACAGTTCCCAGAATGCCTCAGCCAAAATTGTAAAAACTTTCCAGTTACAGTGCAAACAACGAACATTTCTGAGTCCTGAAACTGCAGTAAGGAAGCTGGTTTTCCACAGCACTAGCAAAATCTTAAAAGCAGGAAAAGGAGAGTCAATCCAAAACACAAGTTTGGCCTTAAAGGGGAGCAGAGACAGGATGTCAACAATAACTGGATGACATATTGACCTTTAGGGCCAGTGCCAGGATTGAAAGTTAAGTTGTTCAATAATATTTGATCTAAGTAAACTTTTTTACTGTTTTAAAAATATTTTGTTAAGAATTCAGATTTTGCCAACAACCAGCACTTAGCTGAAATACACATATATGTTCATACTGTAAAGGCAACATAAACATTTCCAACCAAAATCATCAGGGCTTCTAACAAAGCTTATGCCTAATGCTCAGTCTCTTCCCCAGAACACGTGATATACACTAGTCAGAAATACTATACCATTCATTTAGAGACGGGAAAGATCACTTATTTGGACTACAGCTTCCAGAATGTGAGGAACTGGAGGAAGTAGTCTATATGTCCATGATAGTTCATGCTGTGTACAATAAATCTGTTAAGTCTTAGAAGTGCCACAGGTATGTCTGTTATTTTGCTGCAACAGACTAACATGACTACTAGGTGGAAACATTCTCATGTTACAAAAGTTTTCATACCACTTCTACAGAAGTGTTCTTTTTTCTAGCATATTTATTTTTCAACCACTGGGTAAAATGCTGTTGTGCAGTTACATAAATACTTTTAGAAGTGAATTGCTGTAAATGAAGAAATCTTCATAGATATTATCCATCTTATAGTGTGTTGTGCGACTCAGCATGCAAGAGATGATGCCTATGGAGATTTCTTAACTTACAGCAATAACTGCACAACAGAATGTCAGTTATTGCGTTGTCTGTGAAAATATGCCTGAAAGATAGGATTTTCTCCCCACTCCATCCACAGGTGCAGTTTCTTCATTCACACTCTCCCCCAAAACTCTGATGCAGATTTTGAGAATATGCAGGGAGCAGCAGGAGAGAAGGTGAATCTTTTCTCCCCACCCTGCCTCTGGCGTTGAAGATGGAAACATTCAGTGGGACAACTGCATTGGATTTGAGCCTGTATTTTCATTCCCATAAAATAATCTGCTGTAACCTATGACTCATGAAAGCTGGTATTCCTTTTTGCTTTCGGGAATACAGTAACACTTCAATCTATATTTAAATCATTTAAATTTTTTTACCTAAAAGTTTTATGGGGAAAGGCTGATTAAGAGCTTCAGTTTTATCAAAATGATAAAAAGGGACCTCAATATAAATTTTATCTGCTTCAAGACACGATTTGCGGCCTCAGTACCTGGCAGAACCCCTGCTTCTAACAGGATCTGCCCATCCTACAAGAACGTCTCAAGGCCAGCTAAGGATGCTAATCCCAAAAGAGACCCCAAAGGAGAACATGAGAAACCGGGCCTTCTCAGTACTTGCTCCTCAGCTCTGGAATGAGCTGCAATTCATCCAGTCCCACTGCTGGTGATTTTTAAAATGTCATTAAAAACCTTGTTATTTAGACAGGCATTCCAAAATGGCATACCTGTGGATTCAGCTGAGCTTAGTTAGCCTGATTGATCAATCTACCATTTTAAATGTTTTATATTTTTTTAATGCAAATGTATTTTAACGCTTCTGATTGTACTGTTTATTTGTATTATATTATTTTTATTTTCTGTCCTTTTAAGAGTGTATTTTCTGTCCTTTTAAGAGTGTATTTTATGATATAAAAATGAAATAAACAAACCAACAAATTTGTTCACGTGTGAATGGTATGATTGAGGACCTTATTTCATGTTGGGATCCAAGAGCAATGCAACAAACTGTCGAATCAATAAACTTTTTTTATTTTAAGAAAGAGTATCCTTTCCATGAACAAACCAACAAATTTGTTCACGTGTGAATGGTATGATTGAGGACCTTATTTCATGTTGGGATCCAAGAGCAATGCAACAAACTGTCGAATCAATAAACTTTTTTTATTTTAAGAAAGAGTATCCTTTCCATGGAACAAATCTTTCTTTCTTTCTTTCTTTCTTTCTTTCTTTATTTATTTATTTAATTTATATCCCGCCTATCTGGTCGTGTGAGGACAAAGGGACTTTCAAAAGCAGTCTGTGATATTGCATGGTAGCCCTTTTACTGTTGTTATTTATTTATTTATTCATTTATTTAATTTATATGCCACCCACACTACCCAAAGGTCTCTTATGTGCTATTAAGTTGTTTCTGACCCTATGAACTACTGATCTCAAAAGGTCCTATAATTAACAGTTCTGCTGAGGCCTTGCAGACTGAAGACTGTGGTTCCTTTAATGTTCATTTCATGTTGGGTCTTCCTCTTTCCCTTCAACTTTTCCTGGCATAATTGTCTTTTTAGTGTGTCAGTTCTTTTCATGATATGCCCATAGTACAATAGCCTCAGTTTGGTCATTTTTGCATCTAGTGACAGTTCAGGCTTGATTTAATCTAGAACCCACTTGCATACCATTAAAAAGGAAATACAGTGGTGCCTCGCTTAATGATGATAATTGGTTCCCAAAAAAATCGCTGTTAAGTGATTTCATCGCTAAGCAAAACACGGTTTCCCATAGAAATGCATTGAAAACCGGATAATCCATTCCAATGGGAACGGACTGCCGTCCTTAAGCGAAAATCGCCATAGGAAACATCGCTAAGCAAAACACGGTTCCCCAACTGAAATGCATTGAAACCTGTTCAATGCAACTCAATTGGGGGGGGGGGGGAATTACAACAAGTTTAAAAAGAGTCGGAACAAAGTCAAATTAGTTTAACAAAGGGTTTATTAAGTGCACTTATGATTCAAGCATTCTAAACATTTTTAAACATTTAAAAAACAGCCAACATGAGGCTGTCGAAACCATCGTTAAGCGAAACAGGGAGACCCAACCTGTCATCGCTATGCGAAGCATGGTCCCAAACATCGCTATGCAAAAATCGCCCATAGGAACCATTGTTAAACGGAGCGCAAGATCGCTCCGAAAAAGTCATCGCTAAGCGATTTCATCGTTAAACGAAGCAATCTCTAAGCGAGGCACCACTGTAGGTATAAAACCCCAACTGGCACACAGTTGGGGCCCTTCATTGCAGCACAGCAGGAAAGCACTTGGCAGAGTCACAGCATGCTATCTTTGCTGCAACTAGTTAAGCCTCTAAATGTTATCAGCATAAAATAAAGTATGCATATTTCATGAAACATAAAAGCATAGATCACTGAATATATATCACTGTAACAGATTTTTTGCACAATAGTTCCATAAACGAAATTACTTCTAGTTTTTTTTTTCTTTTTCAAATCAAAGGACAATCCCAGAACATTTCCTTATTTACACCTGAATCCAAAACAACCTGTCACATGCCTGTCTGGAAACACAAGATTTTCACAGATAATAATACTGCAGCTGCTTTCACTTAGTGAAATGCTAATAACTTCTTGCCCTGCTTTATACTCTTGTTTAAAAACAAGGAAGGAAGGAAGGAAGCTGCATTTTGTGACTAAGAGCGATAAAAGAAAGGTGCTCACCTCTACAATTTCTGTACTTGCATATCTTGTTGAATTCTGCTCCCCTGGATGCACCACCGTGATCTGCACGAATGTATTCAGTTTTCGATCACGAGTAGGAGTCACCAAATCTTTACATGCTGGAAGTGGTACAGGAAAGGAAAACGGAGTGAGAAAAAAAATCTGTAGAAACAAATCACAGTGAATGTACTGCTTAGTGGCAAGGCAGACCGAACTATGTTTCTGAGTTAAATCCCTACAGACTTGAGCTGCTCTGGCAGAGGAAGTCCCTTGGAAGCACCTTACAGAAATAGGAAGTCACATGTTAACAAGCTAAATTGAGTTTTCATTTCCACCGTCTACGTAGTTCCTGCAAGGCTTCCTTATGGAGCGTCTTCAACTCTTGCATATGAATATGAGCAAGCATGTACAGTATGCACACGTGCATGCACATGCACACACTTACATTTTATTTAAACACAATCATTCATTCATATCTCAACCCTATCACAGCTTTGAAATAATTTGCCATGAAATTATTCTCAAACAGCCCAGCTTAGTCATATTTTATTTAACAAACTGTATGGCATTTGACTGTTTCAGGAAAGTCAAATTAAAATGCTGCCACTGGCTAGGTTGATTTATATGCTCCAGTGCAGCATTATAAAATGCCTTGGTAGGGCTAATCACAGCATGAAGACTTCATTTTAAAAGAAGCAGCAAGTACTAGTGATAGCAACTGAGTCTTGCCAGTTCCCTGCCATTTAACAGTAATACAGACATAACCCTCCCCACCTTTTTTTGGTCAAGTTCCATGTGTGTTTCTTCTTAATGCACTGTTTTTATTGAAGGGGAAGTCACATCAATGGAGTCCCTCAAGCCCACATTATGCCAGATTTTTTTAAAAAAATACATTTTAAACATAATTCGTTGGAGACATAACTCTTCTCAAGACATTAAAAACATTTCGAATTGGCTAATTCTAACAGCTTTACATCTTTGCAGCGCCACATTTCCATTTTGCTCCGCTAACAATCCAATACAGTATTGTTAAAAACCTAGAAAAAGCCAGCAATGTGAAAAGGGTTATATCGCATACAATTTATTTTATTTCATTTATTATGGTTTGGATAGGAATTCTGTATTTTAGTAATTAAAATGCAGATCTTCTCATGAGCTTGTGATTTTAACTTTATAATGATAGTGACCAGCTTGATCTAAATACTAGAAATCAAATCACCTAGCTGGTATCAAATAGGCACACTGCAATAAAAGTTTTTAAAACTCATCTTCAATCAGATAGAAAAGAAGAAACTATCAATTCCACATCCAGATCACCATCATCTTGCATTCAAGGACTTTCTTCTCCCAGCTGACTTTGCAAACTGAGTCCGGATTCACCTCATACAAACAGCTTTGGCACAGATGTCTATCATGACTTTTAGGGACAATTTTTTCTTCACTATCCATCAAAGGGTGATACAAAACCTGAGAAAATGGGATTTCTTCCACAAAAGTTTGCAATTTGTGAGATTTTATTTTAATGGAAAGACAAGAGGACGTAGAAACTGCTTGCTTGCATCTACAATCAGAACCAAAACTATTAAAGAAACTGTGCATTTACTGCAGGTCCTGCCTAGAAAATTTCTGAGCTGTGATCTCAATGCTTTTTTGCAATATGCCATGCACAATTAAATGGATGGCTCCCAAACAAAAATAGAATAATACATGGAAACAAAGGAAAATGCTCTTTACTCTTTGTTGTAAATTTCTCCACTCATACTTGTAATAGTTTATCGGGTTTTCAATGCTGGTTTGTTCTAGAACGGGGACTTTTTTTTCCCCAAAAAAAGGCCTCTTAGGCCCAAAACACATCTGGAGAAACAACAACATGATGAAATTGCCTATCCCATCCCTGGTTGAAAGGGCTCCTTTAAAATTAAAAAAATGGGATTATTGGGGATTCAAGGGATAGAAGAGTACTTCAAGGTAAGGACGACCCCAGGAAGTTATCAATCCCTGCTTTAGAGTAAAGAAAACTGTGCCCAAACATGAATCTTCAGGAAATATCCACCTGCACACTTGAAAGTTTTCTCAGCAACTTATCTCTGCCACGTATATGCACAGGCACAGACACGCGCACACAGAAACACACACACAGAGACACACACCATTCAGCAAAGCTCTCATCTCAAAGTTTAGCAGCAGATCTGGTATAACACAAATACGATGTCATGGTTCTATGATAGCTTAACCATAATTTTTATTAATATTGCTAATATTTTGCCATTTTCATCCCTTTGCCATTTCAGTCATTTCTTCACGCCTGGAAGGTAATAAAGATAGCCCAAAGCTGCCATCTCATTAACTGACCGAGAATGTCAGAGTAAAATCTCTTCCCAAGGGTGATAAAAGCCGTCAAGATACTAATCATCTTCTACAAAATCAATGGCTTATATGAGCCCTGAATGTCACTCTCAAGAAGGGTTTCTAGTCCTAGTGGCCTGTATGGAACGTCATATTCTGTTTAAATCTCTTTAAAGGTCAAGCAACACTTATTTGCTCATAGCAAAACACTGACCATGCTTAAAATGTTTCAAATCTATGGTAGCACCCAAGGTCAAGAATATTTTATTTCTATATTAGCACCCCTGGTCTCTCTTTTCGCCTGGCTGTGGTTCTTTGGAGAGCTTATGTTCCCAAAGAGGTTCATATAATATTTATGTATGTCCCATTTATAATCACAGTTTGGAAATGGATTTCAGCTAGAGGTGGGCAGATTTTCCTCCATGTGCCTTGGAATGCCTCAGAAATAATCCAAGGCTTGGGAAATAAAATCTCCCTGCCAGCCCTCTTCAACTCCTGATACACTACTCTCTTCCCCCACATCTCCCACCATTTTATGATCCCTTGTCTGGTGAGACAGCAAAGGAGAAGTAATGCGTGTAGAAAGAGGAAAAGGAGGAGAGTACACATCATACAGAGAAATCTAGCTGTTCAGTGACCCATGAAGCCCTCCTAAGATACATATATTTTTAAGTCCTCCTTTCTCTTGTCATGCATTCCATCTGACAAGGTAAGAACTAGAAGAGGGTGTTGGAGAGAGGGAAGGTTTAAGTACACTGTTGAACAAGCAGAAGTGGCAGACTGCCAGGAATGTTTATATGGCTTGAATTCCTCAAGCCAGGGAAGAATGTGCAGAAGGAAAGATGGTCAAGCTTCTATTTCTTTTAACCAGGATCCTTCAGGAAACACAGAGAAAAGGGGAAGGGGTTTGAACCTGAGGTGGGAATAGAAGTGGTGAGACATTTACTTCTGGTTTTGAAAAAAAGAGTGTGTATTTTCTGTAAAAGAAAAAAGATACAAGGGGGCTGTGACCAGTTAAAAAAGTAAATTATCATACCTGAGACTAGCACTTTAAAAGCAGCATAATTATCTTTTTTAAAATCCCTCCACAAACTTGGGGGGGGGGCACAGGGTACAGAAACAGTCTGGAGGACATGTGTGGCCTGCTGGCCATATGATTCTCTGCCATGCATGAGAGGTTTAAATGTTCTTTTTCCATAGGGGAACACTATCATTTCTAATTTAACTAAGAACTGTTTCTACACATCAATGTTCCTCCTTTTAATTATATATACTGACAAACTTCTAAAGTGTTTAATTATGAATAGAAATTTGAATCACAGGGCGAAAATTAACTAATGTTTCACAGTGCAGTCCTATATACACTCTCCTTGAAGTCACTGATCTCTGTGGCACTTACTTCTAAGTATTCCCATATAACATTAGTCTGGTAATTCTAGACTTTCAGTCATCTGATGGATAATAGCTATCACAATTTAAAAATTCATACCAATCCAGCATACATTTCTTAATATAGCTATGACATAACAACAACTAGGTTTATATTATGTGTAAGTAAAGAATATCCATTCATTCATTTATTTTATTAAAATATATTTATTTATTTATTTATTTATTTAACTTATATGAGCATTCCGCCACAGCCCTTTACCTACAAGGCATCCCTCTTACCTCCTTGAGGGACGGCTCTTTCAAAAGGGCCCCCTGGCTAGATCTTAACTGCCAGGTAGTTCATATGGAAGGAAGCAGTCCTTCAGGTATCCAGGGCCCAAGCCGTTTAGGGCTTTATAGGTCAAAACAAACACTTTGAATTGGGCCTGGGCAGCAACTGGTAGCCAATGTAATTTAAACAGAATCGGCTTGATATGTCCCCTAGCAGCCCCACCATTCACCAGCCGCGCAGCTCAATTCTGGACTAGTTGCAGTCGCCAGACTGTCTTCAAAGGAACCCCCTTGTAGAGTGCACTGCAGTAATCTATACAAGATGTTACCAGTGCAGTGATGTAACTGTCATGAGACACCACCTGTCCAGGTAGGGCCGTAGCTGGTATAATTTCCGCAGCTGAAGGAAGGCGCCCCTGGCCACCAAGTCCACCTGGGCTTTCAGAGTTAGACTGGGGTCCAGGAGCACCCCCAGGCTGTAGACCCTGTCCCTTAGGGGGAGTGTAACCCCATTCAGGGCAGGGAAATGGCCCTCCAGCCTGTCTGGCGAAGCACCCACTAACAGCACTTCCATCTTGTCTGGACTGAGTTTCAATTTATTAACCCTCATCCAGTCCATTATCAGGTCCAGACATGAGTTCAGCACAGAAACTGCCTCACCTGGATTGGTGGAAAATGAGAGGTAGAGCTGAGTGTCATCAGCATATTGCTGGCTCCTCAGCCCGAACCTCCTGATGACCTCTCCCAGCAGTTTCACGTAGATGTCAAACAGCATGGGGGACAGTATCGAGCCCTGAGGAACTCCATGACATAAATGCCATGGGACAGAGCAACTGTCCCCCAGTACCACCCTCTGGACACGGTCAGCTAGGAAGGAGCGGAACCACCGTAAAGTGGTGCCCCCAACTCCCAACCCAGCCAGCCTATCCAGAAGGACACCATGGTTGATGGTGTTGAAAGCCAGGAGTATCAACAGGGTCACACTCCCCCTGTCTCCATCTCGGCAAAGGTACAGGGCGATCAAGGCAGGCTCCATACCAAAACCCAGCCTGAAACCCAGTTGAAATGGATCCAGAAAATCAGTTTCATCCAGCAGTGCCACAACCTGCTC